CGTGCGAGATATGATTTGTATGAAAATTAATCTAATGCGAATGAACGAATAAAATAAAAGATTGGTTTCTCTCAAATTAACGACGAAGGGAACAGGGATTGATTCCGGGGTAACCAGATTTCTGGCAGATCAGGCCTAATTTCATGAATTTAAATTAATTGAACCTAGCTAATCATTACTAAGTTCTTACCGCTCTCGCGGCGTAGAGTTCAATAATTTAGGGGACCAGGTTGATCTCTCATGCGACAGAATCCTAAATTATTGACAAGACGAGCGAGCTTATGGCCCCTTAATTGCTACTAATCTCTTAGCGAATGATTAATTGTGTGTAAAGGTGTCCTAGAATAAATTAGATCTCTCTTAACTTATTCTAAAAGCAATTGTAATTCTAGTCGCGATTCTAGGTTACAAAAGATATCAGTTAAATTATTCAAACACAAATTAAATGACATTCATGCAATTAAATCATCAAGAATCTAGTCATACATCATGATTAACCCCTTCATCAACCTCATGCCAAATCCCTAATTAAACTACTCACAATTCATAATTGAAGAATCAATGGAATTGGGAAGAATAGAATTAATTGTCATTAATGAAAAAGATGAACTTACAAATAATCTCAGGGTCTTGGAGTATACAATCGTAAAAAAACGCAAGTAAATTCGTCTCTAGGCCTCTCTGTAATGTTCGTAACCCTTAAACAGGAGAAGGGAGGCCTTATTTATAGAAACAGATGAGTTTGGGCTGAACTCGGACTAAAACGGGGCCAAAATCCGCGTTTCGGACGTACGCATGATCGTGCATCCCTGGCCACGCACGATCATGCGTACATGGCAGTGACTCCTTTGCTTTCTCGCCTCAGACGCACAATCGTGCGTTCCCCTACGCACGGCGTGCGTCAAACTTTCGAATTTGACAAAACGTCCTTCATGAGAGTTGTAGATAATGAAGTCCTATATCCACCAAAACTTGCATAATTGGATTTGAATCATCCAATCAAGAGATATGAATAAAAATGTAACTCACCTTGATAGGAAATGCAACTTGAGTCAAGTTGATATGTAAGTTGTCTACAGCGCCGGTCCTGACTAATTATGGGCCGGGGGCAAAAGACAAAAAATAGGCCCTATAGATGTTAGTGCCGGTGAACGCTTGCAATATATGATCCCCTACAAAAAGCTCGTGATTAAAAAGCGAAAATGCAAAATAGCAATCGGCCAATTGTATGGAAAGATTTAAAGATATAAATAAATTTCGACTTTATATCCTTAATTAAAAACCATTTTCTAAGTAATATAGTAGATACAAGTAAACCCAGAGAGAAAAGGATGCTAAAATATGAAAAAGACAGAAGCTATCCGCCATCGGCTTAGTACTACAAGTAAACCCAGAAAGTAATATACTAAATAATTAGAATTATAAATTAAAGTAGTCAATTTACATAATTAGTAAATGCCTGTGGGCACTGTGCGGCAGTGCTTGTCCTCGTCTGATGGTTGAATCCTTTAAGAGGCCTAGAGAGGATTAGAGGAAAAGGCAAAAATTAAGAATTTGAGAATTGAGAATTTAAGATTTGAGAGCAGAGAACAACGAAGGCTGACGGTTGAATCAATTAAGCAAAGCGTGTAGTTGATTATAAAAGACCGAAGAGATTCATATGATTTGTACCAGGGAGGCGGAAAAATTGAGTATCCAACGTTTGGGAACTGAATCCAGAATTGGTTAGGATTGGTATTAATGTTTAGTTTTCGATTTTTGTGAGGGAGTTCGAAAGTCTTCCTCTCGCATGTGAGCCTTGGCTCAATCTAGAACTACGAAATAGAGATTGATATCTTACCGTATACGACTATACGGAGTACTATTAATTTAGATATTTAGTATTATTAATTTATATATATATATATATATATATATATATATATATATATAATAACTACTATAAAATCTATGGGCCCCTTTTTCCTGGTGGGCCCTGGGCAGCAGCCCAGGCTGCCCCTATACCAGGACCGGCCCTGGTTGTCTAAAACGGAATGTAAGGGGAAAAACATTGGTTTTAATGTAAACAATGAAAAATTGATCCTAATTGCCCAATTACTCTTTATAAACAGTGAATATGTTTTGAATTTTTATTATTAGGTCTATAAAAATTGATTTAGTTAATGTTTTTTATCATTAGCATGGTTTATTTAATGGTGTAACTCGGGATAAGGGTCAGTTTGGTCCTCGAAGTTGCAAAAAAGGGGGTCAAATAAGTCCATATATAGAAGATTCTGTCCGGACGTGCTATTTGAGGTGGCTCCCGGTGGACTTTTTTGATGAAATTTTTTTAGCATCTTATTCATTAAGTCTAGTTCACTCATACCAAATTTCAGATAAAAATTCAATGGGGAAGACATTCAAATGAATTCTTGAAGATAACTGTGTCGTTAAAAGCGTTGTTATCTTCAAGAATTCATTTGAATGTCTTCCCGATTGAATTTTTAGCTGAAATTTGGTATGAGTAAACTAGACTTAATGAATAAGATGCTAAAAAAAATTTATCACAAAATGTCACCGAGAGCCACCTCAAATGGCACGTCCGGACAGAATCTTCTATATAAGGACTTATTTGACGCCTTTTTTGCAACTTCGAGGACCAAACTGGCCCTTTACTCCTATCTTATATATGTTATAAACATTAATTTGAATGTAACCAATAAAAGTTGATCTTAATTGCCCAATTACTTTTTGGTGAATAGTGAATATGTTTTTTTAATATTAGTTCTATAAAAAATGATATAGTTAAAAAATTATTTTTTGATCATTAGCAGGGGGTTATTTTGTGGTGTAACTTGCGTACATTGAGATGTAACCCACACATAAACAAATGTAACTTACGATTAAGAAGATGTAACTTCATATAATATCAATGTAAACAATGAAAACAACAAGTTCAATTGTTCAAAACATATAATATGTTTTGTTTTTAACATTAAGGACATAAAATATTTTTAAGAAAAATCATTTTTGCATACGTATGTGTTTATTTGACCAATAAATCAATTTATGTTATTTTTTATGGATGAATTTTGTTGCGAGTAGATGGATAATCATTTGTTTATTTGACCAATGCAATTGTGGCAGACCCATATGCACTACACGATATAGAGAATAGAGAGTAAGCCTTTGATGGAGAAACAGTGCGTGGTATAGAGACGAAGCAGTGATGGAGAAACAGTGTGTGATGTATAGATAAGGTGATGGAGAAAAACAAACAACAAAGCGAAGACGGCTGACCAAAGGAGAGGGTTTTGTGTTCGTTTTATAAAAACGGCAGTGTATTAGGACCGGAATACCATGCGCATGGTATGCCGGTTATTCGGTATAATTTGCTGGTATGGCCCGATCCAGAACAGGATCTGGTATGTTTGGGCCCGGACCAGGTCAAGTTTTTCAGTTTTAGGCCTAATACTGACCTTTTCCGGCCATAATGAGTACCCGGTCCCGATTAACTGATTTCGGGGCCGAATAAGGGAGTTATGGTCTTGGTTTTGCTCCCAACGTGCCATTTTTTTAATTTCATTCTTGGAAGGGTTGGAACTGGCCCATCCTCTTTAGTATTTTGAACAAATATAAACGCTAATCCCTTGGACCCGGGCAACAATCACGAGGTGGTTTGTTGCACTAAACCTTGTGTAAATATATGGAACTTTTTAAAAAGTGTTTGTTCAAATTAGTGTGTATACCAAGAAAGAAATCATCACGAGGAGGTTTGAGCCCATCCTCAAAGGTTTACTTATTCACACGGAAATAATTAAATATATGAAACGACTATTTAATCATCACAAATTAAAATTAGAAAGAAAAAAGTCACTAATCCGATAGTATTATATAATTGTATTCAAAGTTATTATGATATAACTTGGTAACTTTTAGGCATTATATAATTGTATTCAAAGTTATTATGATATAGTGACTACCATAGAAACTTTAAACACAATTATAATCACTAAAAGTTACTAAGTTGTATTTATGTCCATGACCTTATTCTTAGTAATATTTTAGGAAGAACCTCGCCTTAATTAACACTCATAAATCATAATATCACAATTATCAACAATTACCGTATATATTATCCTTTCACACACACACACATATATTCTCAAATTGTGCTCAAATTAACTTATTTAACTATTGTCTAAAAAAAGTATGTCATTTCTTAATAGGGAACTTAAAACGGGACGAAGCTAGTACATACTATAGGAATAATTATTTCTTAGCCCAAATAATCATACTATATAACAAAAATGATACACAATCATTTTCGGGCCTCAAATTTGGTAATTCATATCTGATACCAAACAATCAAATAAAGCTTATTTAATACTCCATCCGTCACATTTAAACCTTTAAAGTCTACACTTTCCTTTGTTGAGACGTACTCTCATTTAAATGTTTACATTTCCTTTTTTGACAACTCCTTTTACATTAATTGTCCTAAATACCCTTCATCACCCACCCACTTTTTACATTTACTTGAATATCATTAGTTACCCTCCAAAAGTCATAAGATATTTGTTCTTCTATTAATTGGTCTCATAAAACACCGTGCCAAAAGTAACGTCAAGATTTAACTGGGACAGGGGGAGTAGTTAAATAACACAACTTCATAGGTCCGATGATCGGGATTTGACGTCAAAAAGTTATTTCGTGTAATTTTTGTTATATATTTGAATATTAGGGTGTGAATTGGGTATATCTATATTATGTACTTATTTGTTTTTGGCGATAGTTGGCATTATTTAAATTTATTTTCCCAGAAATAAATCACAAACTTTACTAAATAATGTGTGTGTTTCACATTCATATTGATTGATTCTCTAAACTGTATATGCAATTTGTGTGTAACATTTTCATGCCCAAACTACCAAATGGGCCTTGAGCCCATACTTGATTGCATCACCCCCTTGTTTTACGCTTGCCGACCTTATAAAGTACATCCAACATCTAGAAATGACGGGAGCTAGAGTAACCATGACAAAAGGCACCAAGAAAACTAGCAAGAATACATGGGAAAAGATAAGTAGTATTAAATATAAAAGAAGACAGATCTAGATTGCTATATTACATATACCTTAAAATTTCTTCTAAACTGAGGCATTGAAAAGATTAAGGATGGGAAATCGATTGAGAGGAATGATTATGGCGACGATGGTTGTAGGATGGACTACTCTTTACATGCAGGTAGCAACTCAACAATTTGAAGCCATGTTTGTTTTTGGAGATTCATTGATAGATCCGGGGAACAATAACTTTCTAGTAGATTCAATGGCAAAAGCTAATTATATTCCATACGGTGTTGATTTCCAAGGTCCTACTGGAAGATTCTCTAATGGGAAAACCATAATCGATTTTCTTGGTAACATTATATACTTTCGTTTTTCCTACTTTTTTACTTACGGCATTGTTATTTTATATTAGATCAAAATACAATATATTTTGTAAAACACTGTTCCACTTGACATAAAAGAATTTAGTGTGGAGAATATAGATTTCAAACATTAAGTTATTTCATTTTTTTGCTCATTTATATTTTGCAAAAACAACTACGGTATTATTTCTATTTTTGATCTTTAATTGACTCAAGATATATTTCAAAATGACGTTGCCTCCCTTCAGGGGCATAGCTAGACGGGGCAAAACTTGACCCCGCGCCGGTCCATCCCAAATTTTGAAATGTCCATATTTTTAGTGTAAAAAAGTTTGTGTAATTATTTTCCAAATATATCTTTGTACTGGCTCAGTCCGGTCTAGTGCCGTGGCTTCGCCCATGCCTCCCTTGAAAATTATATGATGGTTAAGATATTAATCATTACAAAACAAGTCATCTCAGCTAAAAATAATATGTTGATATATTTTAAACTGAAATGAAATCATTGCAAATGAACTAGTTAGAATGTATGGTTGTTAAGCAATTGGAAACCAAAAAGAGTATAATACTAATTTTAACAGGAATAATATGTCAAATATGTCAAGGTTGCCTCATTCAAATAGTACTGCCATTTTTTCTTTCTAAAATATGACTCATTCACTCGTATTCAGGATGGAATTAGGGGGGCATGGAGTTTCAAATATTTCCTATTATATACTTCGTATGTAATATTTTCATACATTATTTTAGATATATATGTGTTCGTCACCCTTAACTTTTAGTTTCCAAAATTAATATATAGTCTTACATAATGTATTACGTAATTAAAGATTTAAAAGAAACATCTACAATAATTTACATAACTTATACAAATAAACAATATAACAACTCACTTTTGAAGACTGAGAATATTTATTATATTAAAATTTATAATTTTGAAATGTTTAATTATCTTTATTAGATAATTAGTACTCGATTTTGTAAAATATCAAACGATATTAAATACCAAACACACTAGTTAAATCATTTTTAGATCATGTATGTGAGGTGAATCCAAAATGTACATGTTCATTGACATTAAATCACACAATTCATTTACTTAGCTTGTTACTTTCCAAAAAGCAATTTATTTCATAGATAATAAACTTTAACTTATTTTAGGAGTAACAAAAATAAAATTATGCACCATATATATGAATTAATTAACAATATAATATTATTCTAAAATTAATAATCTAAGACTTAATATTGTAATAATAAGAAAACTTCTCGTGACTCACGAATACCCTCCTTGTTAGACAAAAATTGAAACTCAAAAACCATTACTTTATTCCGATAAAGATTCATGTTGTTAAAGAAGACAGACATTGTTTCACAACTATATATTGGTGAATTTGTACCTTTTAAAGTCTTTATCTTCAAATAATTTGATTGAATGTTATATATCCTTTTTTAATTATTTTCTAATAATTTTCCTTTGATTTGCCATTTCTTACGAATTAATGTATCAATACATTTTCTAGAGCACTTCAATAATAAAGTCAATGTTATTTCTCTATTGTCTAAACTTAAAATGTAATATATTTAAATGTTGTTGTGTATGTATTAATGGAATTTTTTGAATAAAAATAGCCCCGGAGCCCTAAACTAGCAAAAAATATCGCCCTGCTACACTAGCGGAAAAAATTTCACCCCGCTAAACTGGTGAAATTTGTTAAACCCCTACACTAATGAAAAATTTCCGTTAGATTTTATTTGTTTTATTTTTTATTCTTTTTTATAGGTCTACACAAGTCATTTTTTTGGGAAGATAGAATATAGTCCTATTTTAAAAGTTTGTCCATGCAGCCTCGTGCTTTACTCCTATTTTGAGCAATTTCTTCTTTTCAAAATATGTTTATCAAATAAAAAACACACATACTTCTTTCACCAAACTCCAGACAAAAAATATAACCAAACACTTGTTTTGGACTTGGCTTTCAGTCATTTCATATTATTGTAGTGGAAGCATATAGTGATATTAGACTCCCTTACATTACTGTCATTTAAGAAAACTTCATTGCATGATGCATGACCACAAATCTTTCATTGACGGAAATTAATTTCAGGGGAAATGTTGGGGCTTCCTCTTATTCCAGCCTATACAGATCCATCGGCAACCGGAAGCAACATTCTCAAAGGAATAAATTATGCTTCAGCTTCAGCTGGAATCCTTGATGAGACCGGCCAAAACCTTGTACGAGTTACTTCATTTCCCATACATGCATTTAATTTTATATTGGGAAAAGAGCATATTTGATTGCTCAACTGCTCAAGGACATTAGTGTGATTATTGGTGATGATTCTCATATTTTTTAAGATGGAAGAATACTCACTATTTATCACCAGATGTACTCCTCTCTAGATGGTAATTGGAGGCATCGCATTGGGGACCATTTATTTCAAGTTAACTTACATAACAACTTTACTGAACCTTAATATTTATAATTGCATTGATTTTTAATTGGTTTACTATAAAATGAATGAAACCCAATTTTTCTAAAAGGATCTTCTGCAATACGGAAGAGGTGCATGGTGCACTTAATCCATCACACGAAGGAGAATATGTCTAAGTTTAACCAATAAAATGAACTCACACATCTTCAAATGTTTTTTTTTTGAGTGGTCGAGATTGGCCATATACTATAATATTTTTTGACAAGGCATACACAGACCCAAGATCCCAATTTCACCCTCATTTTTAGATATTAAGAGTATTGGGTTTTAATTTGTTAAAAGAGTAATATAGTTAAGTCTTCTACCTTTAGAGTTGTCATCATTTTAGAACACATATTAAGAAACAAATAATACAACATAAGATTTGACACAAAATAGCGGAGGAAATAACTTTGTCAAATACTCATTTTCGATCAGTCGCTTCAACCATTTCAAGATGTTTCAACCATTTCAAGATGTTTCCTATAGTAAAACCAAATAGCCCTTAATTCTGCAAAGTTGGTAACAGCTGAACCGATTACCAACTTTATACACAGGTGAGTGATCGGAGAATACAATAACCTTATATTAATATATATATATATATATATATATATATATATATATATTGTACATCAATTTTCTCCACTCAAACATGATTTTAAGGATAAAAACATTTGTTACTAGGGCGGAAGATTCACCTTTTCCGAGCAGATTCAAAATTTTGAAAGGACCTGGAATCAATTAAAGAGCAAGATGGGGGAGCAAGACTTGAAGAGTTATTTGAACAAGTCCTTAGTGGTTATTTCTATTGGTAGTAATGACTACATCAATAATTACCTTCAACCTTCATTTTACACCACTAGCTACTTGTACAATCCTACAGATTATGCCGATCTTCTCATCAAGCGCTTTTCGAAGCAAATCCCGGTACATTCTATTTTAGTTATCTTAATTTCTTTTATTACTAATTTTTTAAATTTCATTAATTTAATTCCTTTTTATTCACACATACTAATAAGATTCCTAGTTTTGTTTTTTTGTTTTTGTTTGACTTCGTACTAATTTAAACAAGAACCAACTATTCACGCTATTTTTTTCTAAATAAGGAAACTATTGTTCACGTTTATTATTTTAAAACTAAATTAGAATGAAAAAAGTCACAAAATAAATTGTGGATATGCATAGTAGAAAATGGTATGAAGGGCTCTAAGTTTGAGAGCCACTTTGACCGGGATTGTCATAGTTGAAGTGAGTGAATTTGCCTAGAAGTATAACTCGATAATTATGAAAATGATACTTCTATTTTTTTTACCCCAGGAGGTCGCGGTGAGGTGGCTGAGGGGACTGGGGTAAACTACGATCAGACTCACTCCATTGAGTATTAAATTCAGAACCTCCCATAGAGGAGAGTGAGTAGATGATCAGCTGAGCTGGACAGCTTACTCATAATACTTCAAATATATTTTGGTATAGCACTAAAACTTTATACACAATAGAGTCATAATGTTCTAGTATAGATAATGAAACAATACACAGAAGTTCTTTTTCCCCATTATGAATGGAGTTAACGCAATGAATCGGAGAATTAGTATCGAGTGTAACATTTGACCGATGGGAGGGGAAAGATAAAAATAACACAACAAAACAATAATTTAATTTTTCCAAGCGATATAGTTAGATAAAACATACTACGTATATTATTTTAAAAACATATCATACTTTATCATTTTGTCACAATATAGAAATTGTATATTTAAAATAGAAGCAATATAGCTTGGAGGCATATCTTATATATGACATATGATACATAGATAAATTTTTAACCCCCATTACTTAAGCACAAAATATGAATATGATTAGTCGACACCGATCAAAATAACAATAATTCAAATTTAGAATTGATTGAGAATTTGGGGCCACATCATCTCAGAGGAGGTTAAGAATAGTCAAATTAAAATATTGAAAAAACAATGAAATAGGGTGTCTATGTGAATTCTAGATTGAAATTTGAAGGGGAATTTATTAAATTTATATGAATTGGGTTTAGGTACTACATGGTTTGGGGCTTCGCAAGTTCATACTGGCTGGAATTGGACCACTTGGTTGCATCCCAAACCAAGTGACAACCATGTTACCACAACAAGGACAATGTTTGTCACGTGTAAATGATATGGTGCTGCAGTTCAATTCACGACTAAGGACCCTTGTAGATCAATTCAACCAAGACTTGGTTGCCTCAAAGTTTATTTATGGAAATACTTTTGAAGCATTTAACAACATAATCACAAATGCATCGTCTTATGGTACACATCCAGATTGGTTCATCTTTGGTTAGTCAATCAATTTAATTTATATTATAAATTTAAAAACTTTGCATGTGTTTTCTTTTATGTTGTAGGATTTATTGTAAAAGATATGGGGTGTTGTGGGATCGCGAAGCAGATAACATGTCTTCCATTTAGCGTCCCATGTCCAGATAGAACCAAATATATTTTTTGGGATGCATTTCATCCAACAGAAGCTGTTAATCACATTCTAGCTAACAATGCTTATTCTGGACCACCTTCTCTCTGTTATCCAATGAACCTTCAACAATTGGCACAACTATGAGAGTAGCACTTGATGTCCATTTCATTTCATTATATAAATACAAATCTACTATTGTGCTCGTGTTGTATCCTTATATTTAAATTGTTGCCCTTTTCATTACTAATAAGTATAAAATTTATATTGTGTGTTAACTCAATGCATAATATTTATGATGTTTCTTCATGTAATGGTATTTGCGTTCTTCTTAGACTACAATAATTTGTATTGTCCATATTGTGCTAAACCGTCATATATTGAGTTTCATAGATCACTGTGATTTTAATTGCATGTTATAGTTGTAATGCAAAAAAAGGCAACTATCATGAGCTGAGGACCCGAATGGTCCAATAAGAGTTGTGCATACGGACATACGGTACTTGAAATGTTCAATTATATCATTCCGTGATCCAGAAAAGTTAATAAATTAACATATTTAAGTAAATATGATATCTTAAAGATGTTCGGTTTAAAAAAAATTATTGGGACATACTTAGAGTATCTCCAATGCTATAATATCCACGGTGCACATGTGGCATGAGTGATAGCCACATAAATATTAACAAATAAATTATTTCTCTCCTTATTTGAATGATTTTATACAATTTTGGTATGTTTTTCCCAGCAATGTCAACGACAATGTCAACATCTAGACGGTCTTCTTGACATTGTGGAGAAAAACTTACCAAAACTGTATAAAATCATTCAAATAAGGAGAGAAAGAATTTATTTACTAATATTTATGTGGCTATCTCTCATGCCACATGTGCACCGTGCACATTCTACCATTGGAGATGCCTATCGGACAGAAGCCTACGGATCAGAACACCTTGTTGGTCTTCTGATGGCAGAACCCCTCATGGGGTATTCTGATGGCCGCCCATCAGAGTTGGGGGTACTCTGATGGCCGCGGATCAGAGTTGGGGTCTTCTGATTGAAGAGCATCTCCAATGGTAGAATGTGCACGGTGCACATGTGGCATGAGAGATAGCCACATAAATATTAGTAAATAAATTCTTTCTCTCCTTATTTGAATGATTTTATACAGTTTTGGTAAGTTTTTCTCCACAATGTCAAGAAGACCGTCTAGATGTTGACATTGTCGTTGACATTGCTGGGAAAAACATACCAAAATTGTATAAAATCATTCAAATAAGGAGAGAGATAATTTATTTGTTAATATTTATGTGGCTATTTCTTATGCCACATGTGCACCGTGCACATTCTACCATTGGAGATGCTCTTAGAGCATCTTCTATGCTACAATGTGCACGGTGCACATGTGGCATGAGAGAGATAGACACAAAAAATTGAATTTATGACATTTCTCTCTCATTCCTTCCACGGTTTTATGTGTTTTTGGTAAGTCTTCCTCTGCAATGTCAAGCACAATGTCTAGAGACATTGTGAAAAAACTTACCAAAATGATACAAAATCTTTCAAATAAGGAGAGAGATATTCTATTTATTATTTTTAATTGGTTATCTCTTATGTCACGTATGCATCGTTCACGTTTTAGCATTGGAGATGTTCTTAAATGGTAAAGAAACATTAATCAAGTATCAAAAGTGAATAAAGTAAAAGATGTGGATTAAGTGTGGAAAGAAAGTATCATTTGGACATAAACAAAATGAGACGAGTAAATGTGGTCTTAATAGGTAATTTCATGAACTTTGTTAGTTAGAATGTTTTCTTTTGGATTGAAACTTGTTGGTCTGGTCTGGTACATGACTGCTCTCTGTGTATTTTATAACTACGGAAATCTAGTTTGGTCTGATCTAATATGGTCCGACCTGGTTTGGCCTAATCTAGTCTGATCCGGTCCGGTTTGGGACTGAAAACAGTCCAAAAAAACATCCTTAATCTTTATAAATACGATATAAAGAATAGAAGCAAATGCGAACAAACACTAAAAATGAATTTACAGTGTTTTGAACGTTGTTTTACATGGAGCCCATTGGTAACACGAAAATCGACTGATTCAGCTGATTCTGTTGAAATTAATGAATTTCTAACTAAAGTGTCTGCATTGGCTGATTCTGCTAATTTAAGAAAAATTATTTTTAAAATACGAAGTATATTTTATTAATTTAATAAAATAAAGAAATAAGTATATGTAAAAATAGCTGAAATGGTCATCTACAATAACTTCAGTCAGTACAGTCAGAAAAGTAACTTCAACCTTACTTTTTTATTACTCCGTATTACACAATTCAGCGAACGAACACAAAAAGAAGGTTGATAAGCCTAATAAGCCGAAAAAAGGTATTACCAAACGGTCTCATGGAGTATTCCACAACATTTTAAAATTTTAATCTGTTCAAAAATTTGTCTCCCTATAATATTTATTAGCATCGGACATATTTACACAGCCTTTCGCCCGTGAATAAAAAATATCGAGATGGAGGAAAACAAAAGATGCACTTTAGTATATAAAAATTAGTTCTAAGAACATTAAAAGTATCACTCTTAAAAACATTAGTTCTAAGAATTGTGTCTTTGTTCTCAAACTATTATGCTAGACACTTATGTGTTACTTCACTTTGAGTTTTTCCTTTTATGATCCTACGGATATTATCAGAAAAATCCTTATGATCTCATCTTTAAAAATTTCAATATTTAATTTTTAACTACTATGTGTTATAATAGTGACAATTCTAGTCCCACCTATTATATCAAAAATGCTAATTTGATATTAGACTTAGGGTGTGTTTGCGATTGCTTGTGCTTTTTAAAAGTGATTTTTTTAAGAGATTATTGGGAAAGTGATTTGTAGTAAAAGTTGATAGTGTTTGGAAATAGAAGTGCTTTTAATTAAAATGTAGAAGTTGGAGTGTTTGATAAAAAAGTGGTTTTTAATGTAATATTTTATTAAAGTACCAAAATATCCTCAACAAAATTATACAGCCTGTTTATGTGTGCCCCTTGGGCCCTTGGTCCCCTGGCCGAACTTTTTTTAATATATGTAAAATATATGTAGCTTCATACGCTATGAAGCTTCAAGATCGGAGATGGCTCCTCAATTTTCACTTCAATTTACTACCATGTATCATCGGGTCACAGGGATTTCATTTACCATGTATAGTTCTTCAATTTTCATGGACAACAAGGAAGATCTTCAATTTTTAAAAGAGTATGCTTATTATAATTAATTAGCATACGAATGAAAAGGGAATTCTACATAGAACAAGAGTAAAAGGAATCTGGGCACAACAGAGAGGTAACAACGGCGGCGAAGCAGACTGGAAGCGGCAAAGCAGATCGACGGCGACGAAACAGACCGGTGGCGAAGCAGTTCTGCTGCGGGAGTGGTGATGGAGAATTTCTATTTGACGGACGAAGGAGACCAGCTATGGTGGCGGTGAGGAAGAGTGGTGGGCCGGGGGTGGCGAAGCACATCGCCGGCGGTAATTTTTGGATGATAAAAGGTGGGTCTCGGCCATGCCCCGGAGGATGCTTGTTGGGATATGGAAGATGATCTGTGTCACACAGTCTGTACGATGCTGGTTGGATAAGGGTACTTTTGGATTAATTTAAATATTTTGAAATAAAAACATCCCAAAAGTTGAACTTATTTACGGAAATACCAAGAAGCAGAAAAAAGCATCCTCAGGCCTACTTTTGGCTTTTGGCTTAAAACTGATTAAATTAAGCTGAAATTTTCTTTTGCAAACACTACATTTAGCTTTTACCCTCTAAAAAAGTTGAAAGTGCTTTTATTAAGCAATAGCAAACACACCTTTAGGGAGTGTTTGAAACTGCTTAAAAAAAAGCATTTCTCAACTTTTGGCTTTAAAAAGCACTTATTTACCAAACACTACCAATTTTTACTTTTTCTCGACTTGCGTGTGAAAAGTGCTTTTCCCTTTTCTATTACACAAAAAACACTTATTTTACCAAACACTACCAACTTTTACTTCTCAGAATCACTTTTTTCTCAAACACTATCAACTTTTACTACTAATCACTTTTTCCTAACATCTCCAAAAATACTTTTTTAAAGCAGAAGCAGTTGCAAACACTCCCTAAATGGAGTAAACTTTGAAGTCAAGAACCAAAAATATACATCTGTCCCAATGAACTTTGCTCACTAAGATTTAGGTGATAAATAAGAATAATAAAAATTGTCTAATTAAAATTTGTGCAGAGGTAAAAGAAATGAACAAAACCACAAAACAGTTAATGTAATGAGAACTAAAAAGAGAAAGTTAACAAAGTCCAATAGGCTACAGTGTCACAATATCATTCACTCATTCAGTGATTCGAGGGGTCACAGTTCAGCCATCATTTGTGGCAAGACATCAACTGATACTATACTTGAAATAAGAAGAGCAAACTGTTTGATTCTTCAACAGCAGAATAAATTATGAAAACAAAAACAAATACGGAGTATACAATAAAAACTAAGTCGAGTAAGGCACAAACAATTAAGGGAGGAAGTAAGCCGGCTTCAGTGTCATCTAAGCCCGTATTCCCCTGTTAAGACTAACCATTCGAGCAGATGTATCACCTTGGTTTCTCCGGACTGTGGACCCACCAGACTGGTATCGTGACCCTTGATTCCCAACCGAATATCCACCACCACTAGATCCTCTTGCCTGGTTGGACCTGTTATCCCTTGAGAACCCCCCACCACCACCATATCCATATCCTCCTCCGCTACCTCTATATCCTCCTGTTCTGCCGCCGCCCCCACCTTGCCTTCCTTGTGAAGAGAAGTCCTGCCACTTCCCACCACCTCCACCGGCCACTGCAGCATAATCTTGGCCCTCTCTTCGTCTGCTAAACGGAGCACTGTCCAACCCGCCACCAATCCTCACCTCTATTGCTCTGTCATTGCTTTCTGCAAGAACCGCCAGTTTCTCCGTGAGCTGGAAAGCCAAAGCCTGCAGCCTTGTATGCTCAACGCCATGGAATGCTAGACACCGAGTTGGTTGGTCCAAGCTTGCATGGAGTTCATCGGATATCATCAGTTTGCTCACCACAGAATGGGTCTTCGACTCAGAGAGGCCAAACATCTTTGCAAGCTGGTCAAGGCTGAGGGAATTGTAAGAAGAAGAGTAAGTGAAGAGATACGTCCTTAAAGCTTCTTCCTTGA